AATCATAATTGATCAACATTTATAATCGGAAGTATTAACAAAATATTATGTGCACGACCAATGTATAGTGTAACTACTTATTTTTCACTATTAAATATTATATAGTTAATTATGGTTCATTCAATCTTCGCACGTTATTTGTTGTTACCAGATGCCAAAAATACCGAAATCGAAGATGTTTAAATATCTTATTCCCCTATTCTCATATTTCTTAAAAAACTAAATTTGGAAAATATAATGGATTTTCGCTCAATGTATTTTTAATTCATTAACAATGGCTTATAATAATAATAATAATAATTTATTGCATTTAAAGAAATATACAAATACAATTTAAAGAATATTATACAACCAAAAATATAAAATCTAATTAAATTACACAAATGATAAATTATAAATGATTGTCTCCAAAAGCCTAGGCTTGTGGAGGATACAACAGTTCTTATTTGAGAGGTAATATTATACAAATAAGAATAATTACATTGGTTTATCCTTATTATCAAATAACTTAATAGTAATGAATATAATAATACTCAATAATATAAAATAATAGATAAAACTGGAAAATGTTGAAATATAATGTAATAATTGATATATACTATGTAGGTATTTACAAACAAATTTTTATCTTGTACTTATTTTAATAAACATTGAATGTATTTCTATTATTATTATTATTATTATAATCATTATTATTATTATTATTACTATTATTATTATTATTATTATTAATTATTATTACTATTATTCTATATATTAATCGTTTCATCTTTTATTATGTTATATTTTATTAAAAAAATATTAGCACAGAACGGCGTGAATTTCAGTTTGTCAACAAAAATTCGAATCAAACAGATTAACTCGTAAACAAGTCGACAATTTATGGCTAATTTTATTAATTCATCATTATTGTACACCGTTCTGTGCTAATATTTTTTTTTAATGTTTGTACAGTTGAACATCTCGAAATTTTTTTGAATAAGATATTTTTTCAAGTTGAGGCACATCATTTGGGTATTGATTTCACTTCTTTATTAAGCCCCAAATTCTATTTTTTCAACCGTGGCCCTTTTTGGCACAGAACTTTGAGATTGATTTCACATCTTTATTAACACCAAAGTTCTATCTTTTCTCCCAATCTCTTCAACTTACGCACAGAAAGCCTTTTTTACTTCTCCGAAGTAGTTTTTTTGAGGATTTCAATTATTTTTCCGAAGCACGTTTTACTGTGATATACTGAGGTTTATCGTTTATATATTATATTATGTTTATGGATTACATTTTTTCTAATTATTATTTTTATTTGTGAATAATAATTCTATAAAAATAGAAATACAATATAAATGTTTGTAATTATATAATATATAATTATTAATTATAAATTTATATTAATGACACAATTATTTAATACTAATAATTATTATCATAGTCAGTGTCAGTCTGGCCCACCCGGCTACCCGGCGATCGCCGGGGGCCCCTGGATATTTTTATGTATTAGGGGCCCATAGCTAAATGAAAAAAAATATTATGTTTACTCGAGATTCCAGACTCGGGTTCCAATCAAATCAATTTGTAAACTTTGAACCATTGGTTATATTATAAATATTAGTATATACTATTATTATGGCCGGCGATTACAATATCTTAGTCCGTGATCTTCAGATTTATGCCATATACCTATTACCTATATAATTATATTATATCTTTTAGCCCGTGGTCGGCAGTTGGCACTGACGAGACAAAAATAGATTTACGGTAATTTTCCAATAAGGTACACCTTCACCCATATACTAATACGAGTGATACACAGTATTACACACAGACATACAGACACGCACCTCACACACAGACACTCAAACTTATGCTCGCTAATCGCTGTACATAAATCACTATTAAATACTTTATGAAATAACATCAAAATCTGATTTGTTTAATACCTTAGAATTGAATAACGCTTTCACAAAAAAATTGAAAACATCCCCCGATTTGTTTTGGTTTTGCGTAGGCCTCGGAATTAAACAGAGTTGTTAAAAGGAACATAATCGGCTAGCGTTGCCACTCGCTAGCTACGCTGCGCTCGGGAAAAAAACACGAGTTCCTCCGCGCATCATTAAGTAGTGTTGCCCACATGCGTATAAATCGCAAACTTTGGATGGCTATAATTTCAAAACGAAGTTTGTCCGGCCTTTTTTTTTACATTCTTATAAAGAACCCTAAAATACACATTTAAAAAAAAAAAATTTGAAAAATCGATAAGTTGCTAAACCAGAATTATGCCCTTTCTTGTACACAAGTTTCATGTGAACGTGTGTTTTCAAAATTGAAAATTTTAAAAACAATACTAAGATCGTCTATCAGTCAAGAACTTCTTGAACCACTAATTTTCTTATTTGTAGAAGAATATTTAATCAAATGTATTCAAAAAGATGAAATAATTGATCAATTAGCATCTTCTAGTCAAGAATTGAAGATATAATTGTCTTAAATAGTATTATATTTTAAGAACATTTTAAGTTAACGTTGTTATTCCTTTGTGAACCACATCTAAAAAACAAAATCGTTTTTTTTTTTTTTATTAGTATTTGTATCTAAAGTCACCGACTGGATTTAATTACCTAGCCAGGTTAGCCATAGTACTACGTACTGAACAGTTATATATTTTATTTGATTATTTAATCATAAAAAGTATTAATTTGATATTAAATAGGTATACTTTTTTTTTTTTTTTTTTTCATTAATTATCCCGCGGCAATTTAGACCATTGGGAGGGGGGTTGGTACTGTAGGTTATTAACGGTAGGTGAGTGTTACACGTGGGTGTATTTTGGCAGAATTTCGAATGGGGCACCCGTAGGTTTCTGCCATGCCCCGGAGTGGGGGATGGCGGCACTTGTTTTCCGGACACCGTGACTTGCCCGGAGAAAAATGCCGCCCAGTGGCCGAGAATCGAACCCGCGACTGCCAGCGCCGCAGCCGACACGTTAGACCGCTCGGCCACCTCGTTCCCCTTAAATATACTTATGTACGCGGAAAATGCAACACCTACCTTAATATGTTATAAAAAATTATAAATTTCAGAACCCCCTTTTTTTTTTTTGTAAAGGGCCCATTGAAAATTACTGTGCCGGGGGCCCATTTATAAGCCAGACCGACCCTGATTATTGTATTAAAATAGTAATAATAGGTACATATTTACGTAGCTGTTGTTTTGTAACAATAAATCGCGTAAAATAACGTATGTAATAATGTAAATGCACGAGACCTCGGTATCGCAAAACACGAGTACGTAAAAAATATTTTATAATATAATAAAAATAAATAATAATTAATAATAATTCTGCAAACGTAAAACTAGCTAGTTGTAAATAGCTGTTGTTGTGGGTGAGGTTCGCGGTACGGTAGCGGCCGGCGCGTGGCGGTTGCTACCGCGCGGCGTTGGATGACGTTGCTATGACGGACGAAAGAAAAAGACTCACAAAACTGCAGTTTTTAGCTCTGTCTCTCTCGCACTCTGCATTCAACCAATGCGTGCGAGTGAGAGGTCCGAGCGCTGAAACGAAACTTAATGTATAATAGTCTCGCTATCGGTTGTCAAGGTGCTGTTTCTTATCAGTGTTACTTATGCACAGAAAGGAGTCTCTAGCGAGACTCTTCGATTATTTTAAATTATTATATTATTGTTATCTATACAAATATATTGTGAATTGGACTTTTGTCCGTATAAATAAATAAATAAATAAATAAATAAAAAGTTTAATAGGAATATCATATTGCATTCATAAATGCATACCTATAGTGAATGGATCTCTTTTACCAAATTCGGTATTATATTTATTTATTTTAAAATTATTGTTTAATGTATTACGTGTAGAATAATTGTGGTTGAAACTGACGCTATCAAGGTTATAGAAATATAAATTTGTTAGTAATTCTTTAGCATGAGATTTCTTTAGGTTACGAATGCCATGAGTATTAAATAATATATCAGTATTAGAACGTAATGGTTTCTTAAAAGCTATCCTTAATAATGAGTTTATCGTAGTTCTTAGCAAATTTAGGTATTTATCGAAGGTACCACCCCACACACTAATTCCGTAAGAATAAACTGACTGTGCGATGGCACAGAAAACCATTTTCATATTGCTAGGTGATAAAATAGTGTTTAACGTTTTAAACTTACTAAACATACTTTTTAATTTTTTAATAGTTAAGTCGATATGTAAATTCCATTTTAAAAATCTGTCAATGATGACACCAAGATACTTTACAGATTCTGCACTTCTTATATATGTGAATCTTATGATGAATCTTGTATTAAATTTTATTAAACACTAATAATAGGCAAACATTTTCTTATCCATATGAGGCTATAAAAAGCATAAAAATGAAAAAAGTAAAAAAATGTAAACTAGCTGGTAAACTGGTTAGTAATTTTTCTTACACCATAAAACTAAATCGATGTTTTAGAAAACTGGTTTGAAAACTACTGTGAATTTTCTAATTTGACTACTTAAGAATACCAACTAGAGTCTATACCTCATTGAATAAATTACTGAATTTGAAAGTCAACGTCTGCCAATGACAAATCATACTTATTTTTAAAATAATAATATAATAAAATAAACTAATTATGATACAATATTATATCCACTGCAATCTTTCTAGATAGAATCTGAATTTCGTATCTCGTGACCACGTGCTCATAATTTAAACTTTACATTTTTGAATGCATATTATAATCAATATTATCATAGTTAAAAGTTCTGGAGTACCTGCGTGAAAGCTTAGTTTTTTCAAAACTGGTTTTTTTTTGTGTCGTCAATCAGGGGATGACCAGAGAAAGACGAGTACCCAAAATGTCATCAAATTCGATGCAGAAATAATATTACCATAGGTAGGATTAATACCACAAAAGATTAAATTCAAACTAATATTGTACAATAAGTATCATCTATTTTAAATGTTAATTGTCCGACTGATGAAATTATTAATGCATTCCGAATGAATACAAAACAGGATATTGGTAAACTGGTTTTTCGCTTTAAAAATAAAATAATCAAAGACGAGGTACTTTTAAAAGTTAAAAATCGTTATAAGAATAAGAACCCCTTAAAAGCTGTTGAAATACACAGCTCATTTCCTGACAAATTGGTTTTCATAAATCATGAATTAACCACAACTAATCAAAAGTTATTTTGGGTTTCCAAACTGCTGGCTAAAGAGTATTCGCATAAATATGCGTGGTTTACTTCGGAAGGTGTATTTATGATGAAATCAGACGGAGATAAGCTTTTCAAAGTCGTTTCACAACTGCATGGATATCAATAGGTAGTACATTTGATGATTGTTTCTTATCTTAATCTTTTATATTGTACTAGACCAACGTTTGTATTTTATATATCTATCTTGAGGTTCATAACAATGGTCTTCTTGATATTCAAAATAAATTATTTTGTAGTTATAATATAAACAGTAGAATCTTAAATGATTTAAGTGAACTATAATATATCTGTATTTTCTTTAAATATTAGTAGTATTAATGTATATCTAGATGAACTTAATCGTTAATATGTTATATTTGTCAGAATTCGGAGTTTTTTAAGACTCCGAAAACTATCCACAAATCGACATACGCTCGTTGTAGATAATTTTGCAACTATCATTAAAATAGACTATGGTAAAATCAACACTACTCATACTAAAAATAATTTAAAACAATTTACTAAAATTGATTTTGTACTTTTAAATAATATGTTAAAAGATGATAACTTTTCCTGTTTGTCTAATATTAGTGATGTTGATACATTAATTAACATATTTAATAATACATTTAACTCATATATTAATTTTCTAGTACAGTGAAATTCATTCATGTTAATAGTAATAAATTTCGTAAGATTAAAGAATGGATGACTCGTGGCCTTGTGGTATCATTTATACATAAAGAAAAATTACCATTTAATCTAAAAAAAATCTCCTTTTAATATTGTTTTGAAAAAAAACTTTCTCAATTTATAGAAACTTACTGAATATGCTAATTAGAAAAGCGAAAAGCATGAAAATAACAATGTTCATATAAATAGTATTTTAAGTACTGAGGGTTTAATTAAGAATGAATATGTTTGGTAATGAACTAAATAACTTCTGTGCAAATGTTGGAAAAACATAGAATATGATTTTGGTGACGACCCAACCAGTTTTCGGAATAACCTAGTCTATAAAGACGGACGACGGTACGGTTCGCAAAATGGCATCTATTATTGGATGTTGACATATTATTATTGTTGTATTATTTTTCATCAACTCACAAATCACAATTTTCAAACACACGGACCAGATACCTGATACACATGAGTACACGACTGTTAAACTGTAATCACTAATGATAGTTATTATTCTCGGTTTTGACTTTTTTTAAAGGGTTAACGTTTTGGGTCTTGAGAGAATGGATATTTTTAAAAGAAAAAAGGAGTAGCCGCCAAAGAACGAGATCGCCAAAAAGTTAAATTGGTTCAAATTGCTAAATCTTGTCAAAATATAAAAGCCTTCTTAAAATTAAATAATGAAAACAAAATTTATGTTGATAATATTGAAAACGAAGATGATCCTGATGACCCGGCTTCATGCATTGTAATAGTATAAGTGTTAGAGTTGAATTTAAAGGTACGTACTGAAAATACAGAATACTGTATATTATTAATTGTAAATATATAACTTGAATATATAGACTTTCTTAAACTATATAAATGTTAAATTGGTGGGACTAACCCCCCCCCCCAATTATTAGAAGCCAGGGGGGTTATGGGGATTTTTTTTTGGTTCATTTAGATGGCGTCGGTCATTAAATAGGCTGCCACTGCGGATGAAGTCTAGTCACGCCCATGAAGTAAATCAACAATGGATCCTCTGCTTATTCTTAATAAATGTGTTCACGAGAACCTAGATTGTAAAAATAAAGTGATGGGCATCTTTCTAGATATTCAAAAAGCTTTTGACTCGGTTAATCATGATATTTTAATAAAAAAATTTGATTATGCTGGTATTAAGGGTTCTACATTAAATCTTTTCAAATCTTACTTCAGAAGTAGAACACAGGTTGTCAGATTAAATGGTGTTGTTAGTGATCCTGTTAAAACTACTCATGGGGTACCACAAAGAACTGTATTAGGGCCTATTTTATTTCTTATTTATAAAAATGGTCTATTAAATTTAAATGATGACTTCAACATTTCTTGTTTTGCTGATGATACCTCCATATTGCTACGTAGTGGCAATTATAATGATTTATATAAAAAAGCAAATTCGCTACTATACTGTGTTAAAGTATGGTTTGATAATCATATGTTGATGCTTAATATTTCTAAATCTAAATATATGATTTTTTAAATCAAAGATCACTCTTTAAATCATAACTTTGAGCTAAAATTCCATTCTTTTGATTGTACATTTTGCTCTACATAGGCAACATAAATTGTAAATGTAAATTTTGGAAAAAGTGGAAGTATATAAATATCTTGGTATTACATTAGATTATAAATTAAAGTGGTCATATCATATTAATAATTTAATCTCCAATTTAGGTACATTTTTCTTTATTTTTAAAGACGTTAAACGCTACTTTAATATTAAGATGAAGAGAATCATTTACATTGCTTTGGTTCAATCTATTTTTAGTTATGGAATAATCTTTTGTGGTTGTACTTACAATACAACACACACCTCGAGAAACTAAAAGTCACAATATATAGTATTGTTAAATTTGTATTGATCAAACCCAAATCTTATAGTACAAATTGCTGGTGGTGCGTTGACCTCGGTGATGGTGGTTCCGACGGCGACCTATAACAATGGTAATGAAATGGACCGGACGGTGACTTCGACGGTGACGGTGATGGAAGAGGGTGACACAACGCACAACCAAACACCCGGAAAGAAGAAATAGAATGAACAACAATAGCTGAGTCGCAAGACACCGGCAAGGGCTAGCTGGTGTTATCACGAACTGGTGCGGTTACCGAGAGGAGTGGGAAATGCGGAATTTGCTTATCGCAGTTTTGGTGTTGCTTACATAACAACCAAACATGTAAGCTACAGGGATTTTTAATACAGGGCATTTCACAATTGATAAAATAACAACACATTTGTAAAATTGTTTGTTTAAAAATAATAATAATAATTTAGTTATTGCGATATCGTATCCTGCTTTTCTACAAAATCGATAACGTATCAGGTGACAGGTGCAGGAAATTTACTTGAATTGTCTATCATAATGTATCCATAGAATATCGGGAGTACGCGCCAAGTGTTTTCGTTGCGTGTTCTACGCCATGCAGATGACGAAAAAATAAATTGAGTTTCACTGTTTTTATCGGATAAACAATATCAAGACACTTTTTTTTTCATAAATAAATAATAATATCGTTTATCATATTTTTATTTAAAATAATGTACTCATCGATAACATATTTTTGTATCATATTTGAGTGCATATTTCTCGTGCTTATTACAAACTAAAAGTCCTCAGCCTCAACAGCGAGCATTGTATACGGTCGGCCAGTCTACAAGGTTGCTTCATTGTAGTGGACGCGATTCTGAGCGGAGACGGTTTATTGGTCTAGATAATTTATATTATTATTATTTATTATATCATGTAAGTTGAATTAATATTACAGTGGAACCTCGACAATCCAGGGTAATGGTGGGGAGGGGGTCACACGGATAAATGAAAACCACGGTTAATCGAGGCTTTTTATAATAATGACATTTTTTATTTAATTATAATTGGAAATACATAGGTACAATTTTATTCGTTAGTCAAGCTAGTGTATATTACGTCGTTCGTCGCACCGCGGTCTTTTTGACCGCGTTATAATTTTTAAGAATATAATTGTGATATCTCGGTGATATGAGTCCTTTTCGAAATTGTTTGATTAAATATTATGATATTTTTATTTTTATTATTGACTGCTGCTGTTATTATCGTGATTATAAAGTAAACGAAAGCAATATTACCACTAGGGATGGCAAAAAATGGCAAAATATCGATATATCGAAAAAACAAAATTAAAATAATTAATTAAAAAAAATAATAAAATTGAGGCAAATCGTCCCTGTCAAGGAAGTGGGTTGAACTTAGTTCAATTTGTGATTGATGTAGCAACTCATATGGGCCACTAATCGTGACAAACCTAGGACTTTGGAGAGATTTAAAACTGTATTTGTGGCGATGGAAATCACGACAATCAGGCACGGATGGCGTTGCAGGTAACTGCGATCGTGGACGACAATTTCGGTGGTTGTTTAATCGCTATTATAGTCCTCGTACAAATTTCGAATTCACGTGTCACGTGAAATACGTGTTTATTCAAAATATATAGCCGTGTCACGGATACACGGTGCAAAAAAACACTTGTTCCATTGAGACCTCTAATATCTACAGTCCATAATTATTTTTAAATTTCCGGAAGAGTGAGCACGGTTAATCGCGAACACGGATAATCGAGTCACGGATAATCGAGGTTCTACTGTATAATACAATTATTTTTTATTCGTTTCTGTGGTGATAAACAAAGCTTTATAAATTAAATTCCCATTTTTAGAGGTTTTTCGTAATTTTTCGGTGGTTTTTCCCGTGACATTATATAACTATTGAGAAAATCAAAAAATGGTAAGTACCATCTTGATCCAATTTGCTCAAAGATAAGGTTGAAATCGAAGCACTCATTATGGTAGAAATTTTGTATACAGGCCACAGGGTATAAAAAAAATAAAAAAATAAACACCATTGTATAACGAATAGCTTCCTCTCTCCGCTCAGAATCTAAAATAATAATATAATACCTATAGTAAAATAAATTCAACTTACATAATATAATAAATAATAAACATATCCAGACTGACAAACCGTCTCCGCTCAGAATCGTTTTTCTTATACAATGATATTATATTATTGAATTCAAGTTTAGTACAATCCATTATACAATGGCCCATTTGTAATATACTGTACTGCAGAGCGACATCCACTTACCCGCTTTTTTTTGTTGTTTTTTAGTAATTTTGTAATATTAGATTTATATAAATATAATGGCATATAATGTTTATAATAATAACGGATTGAGGCTTTTAAATTAACTATTTGAATATTATTGTTTAATATTATCGTTTAGTCAGCTGCCTGGTGCGGTTTCATTTGAAATACAGTTCTACGAAGTCAATTTAAATTTATATTTAAAATGGATGGTGAAATAAGCCTGTACCTAATTAATTTTATTATTGTAATTATGGCTAGTAGAGAACGATGTATAGTGCATGCCCGCACGCAGGTTCCT